TACTCTAATAAGGAAATATTTACAAAGTAGCAACACCAAGAACAGAAAGGATAAAATTCAAAAGTAAAGCAAACTCAAATCACTTTAACAATTGAAGGATAAGTGCGGACAGCAAAAAAGATAAAAATACATGGTACCAAACAAATATAGACGGGCCCAGGCTGCACATGCACTTCGTATTCCATACATGGGGAATCTAAAGTGAGGGTAGAGATGTAATTAAATGACCAATACTCGCATATCACTAAAGGTGAACTTTTAAAATGGACTAAAATTGAACAAAAATAACATTTTTTTAATGTTTGATTCCATTTATACAAAGTACAAAAACAGAAAATTAATCTGTGGTGACAGATGTCAGAATAGTGACGAGTCTTTGGAAGCTAGTGGCTGGAAGAGGACATGAAGGGGGGTTCTGGGGTCAAAAAATAACATTTTAATACAATGAATGATAGGAGATGGCAAGGAGAACTGATGGAATTTTATTTTTCTCTCTCACTTTTAAAGCACTCGGATAAGTCATAACTTCATTAAAATCATGCGGAAAATAAATCGTCACTCATTTTAAAATTCTATGGAGTAGCAAAATTATAAGAATTGTAAAATAAAATATTTTACCACTTTAACTACAAGATATATATTCATGACCCTGGAAAGTCTCGGGAAACATACTTATTACTAAGGATAAAACAAAAGGAGGTAAGAAAATTCGCACAGCAAAAGTCAAATCTGTTGCTTGCAATAGATTATCAACAAATTATAAACAAAACAAAACTTGCTTACAAGCATGCAGAGCTTTGAAGGCATCCAGAAGGGAGAGCGTGTGAGGAAAAGTACACTGTCAGGGCTGGCTGACGGCCAAGCTAGTACACGGCATTCATCATCAAGAACACGACTGGCATCAATTAACATGTACGCTAAAAGCTCTGCGGTGGAGACTGTAGACATCTGTAAACATGAAATGTAGTTGTTTTTCTACATAATTCTATAGGCAATATTTGAAAAAATCTAAATTCTTAAAATTAAATCAAAAGTTTTATTGGTTTTGTTTTGCTTTGCTTTGCTTTTGTCTGAATAAACAGGTTGGCAGTGCTGGTAACCATAAATCCAAATCTTTCAATTTGGTGTCTTCACCACTTCCTGCTGTTGCTTGTTCTGGCTCAGCTCTTGGATTCTCTAAGAAATGGTTACTAATTCACAGCTAATTACTCATTTAAAAAATAAAGTAAAATGTGGGTAGGGAAAGATTGGAATCCTGCTAATGATATTGTACATATAAAAATAAAATTAAAAAAGGAAAAGATCCAATTTCCTTCAAACCTCACACCTTGAAAGCATGTTGTCATTACAGTCTTCCATTCTATCACCCACAAGGAATGAAAAAGTAAACTTTGCATTTTACTTAATACACCTTAGTCTCTCAATTCCAACAAAAACAAATGAATTCAAGTATTAAGTTCAGGCACCAGTGGTTAAGAGTGAAGGTGGACTTCTCTAGCAGGTTCTTCAGGGGATAAAAATATTGCATGAAAATGATGAAGCTCTTCATCTAACTCTGGCTTTTTTCCATTTCTTCTTGATTGTTCTGCACAGCTATAAAACAAAGATTAAATTTTAGACACTAACCAGAACTGGGCTTGTCAAAATTTCTCCCTAAAGAAAAACACATTTTCTCACCTCCTCTTTTATTAGCCAGGCTATCTTAAAAATCACATTATCATAAAACATTAAAATTTTCTTCATATTTTTCCTCATATGAAAAACAGATTTGCATTTAGGCTATGGTAATACAAATCTGTTCAATTAGCATAAAAAATAATGCTGTTGTAAACAAATCTTGGTTAAAAAAAATGTATAGCCATGTCTCAAAGGATTTTTACCACTACTTCTAATTAGAGTTAAATATTCCAGAGGACCATCATCTTTTAAAATAAAATTTTAATTATATATACCTGAGTATACTATAAAATTGACTTGCTTCATGAAAATTCACGTATGAAACAAAACCCCAAATGAATAATACACACCTCTAAGTCAGCTAAACCAAAGACCATTTAATATCTTAAAAGGTATGAAGAATGGAATAAATTCAACAGGACCAATACTTTCTAACAGAGCTGGAAAGAGTACTATTAGCAACTCTCTAAGAAATAATATTCACTCATAAATGCCTAATACTCACAAGAACTGGAATTCCTTACGTCCATAAATAATGTTAAGCTAAATATTCTTGTTTTTTCATAATATAAATTATAGTAATATGCTGGAAACTATGAGGTATGTCTACATTAATATCCATCCATTATTTACTCATGCCAAAAAAGCATTTTTAAGAAATTTCTCTAATTTGTCTTCCAATTACTCCATGATTTAACCCTAGTTCACTATCTAAAGAAATTTACCCTAGGAGAATCTCTGTCTTATCACAGAGTCATCAACAAAATGATATTCCAGACCATTTTTTAATGTTTTCTACAATTTAAACAATAGAGATAGGAATTCTTTTTTTTTTTTAGTAAGTTTTTTTTTGTTTTGTTTTGTGAGGAAGATCAGCGCTGAGCTAACATCTGCCAATCCTCCTCTTTTTGCTGAGGAAGACTGGCCCTGGGCTAACATCCATGCCCATCTTCCTCCACTTTATATGGGACGCCGCCACAGCACGGCTTGACAAGCTGTGTGTCAGTGCGCACCTGGGATCCGAACCAGCGAATCCCAGGCTGCCACAGTGGAGGGTGCACACTGAACTGCTTGTGCCACCGGGCTGGCCCTTAGATAGGAATTCTTCTCCATCTCTAAAGACATGTAGCATTACTCTGTTGAATGACTTTAGTGGGGGTTTTTTTTGGTGAGGAAGATTGTCCCTGAGCTAACATCTGTGCCAATCTTCCCCTATTTTGTATGTGGGACGCCACCACAGCATGGCTTAATGGGCACTGTGTAGGTCAACGCCTGTGATCCAAACCCACGGACCCCGGGCCGCCGAAGCAGAGCACTCGACCTCAACCACTACGCCACTGGGCCAGCCCCTGGGGGTTTTTTTTAAGCTGTATATAAGCAGAACTTTTCTAGATTCCTATATTTGATTTTGGGATCCATGATTTAAGGGAAAAAATCACAAGTATGTGTGGAGGAGTATACAATGATTATTTTAAAATTTGTAAAATGAGAACTAAGCATTTAGAAAAGTATTAATGTTAAAAGAAACAAAGTAAAATTGTGAGGTGTTACAGTGGATTGGTTCACTCAACAGCTTAAACCTGCATTCCTGTCCTACAGAGGAAGGAAAGTTAAACACGATTATTGCCCAACCTCCCTTGCAGCTAGGATTCCAGATATGATTGGTCCAATCAATCAGATGCATTCACCTGAGACTTTTACTCCGAACCGAGTCACATGGGGAGAGAGGCAGGACACGAAGTAGCCATTTTTGCCACCACAAAGCAAGGCAAAGGTGGTGTGTTTCTGGAGCTGGCAACTGTTCACGGCTTCCTAATCCAGCAGGTGGCTTCCTGACCTGGCAGGCAGCTTCTCAACTGTTCCAAAAGCACCAGCTTCTTTGGCAGCTCACTCTTGTTATGCAGTTCCTAGAAGCTCAGCCTAGGTTCTGTTTCTTCAGCCCTCCCAGAGATTGTGTGAGCTCTCTATAGACCCCTTAATCAACCCCATTCCATCTAACAGCTAAAGAAGATTCTATTACCTACAACCAAGAATCTTGACCCATACAGACTTTGGTAGTTAGAAGTAAGGTGCAGCAAGTAAAAGGATCTTAACTAGAGAGTTGGCTTACTTGAGGAGGCAGGGCTTTGGGCAGTGAGAGCTCATGCCAACTGAGGTTAAGCTATCAGAGGAAGTGCTGGTAGAACCTCAGAATGCTAGCCTGTATTAGCTGCTTCTTCCCTCTTTCAGCAAAGGCCTCCAAGAGAGATGTGACCAAGCTAAGGTTAACAAGTCTGCAGAGATGGAAGAGAATATAGCCTTGCTGAGGGAATTGTTTTCTGTCTACAAAATAAATTGACCAAGTTCCAAATCTGGAGCCCTGAAGAATTGAAAAAGTCTACTACTACCGTACTCCAAACTGAAACAGTTGTAAGTAAAGGTTCTGAGGAAGCTACTAAAGCTTCCTCACCCTTTTTCAAGATATTTCCCTTAAGAATTTTCTGCCAAGTAATGGGAGCCATCCCAAGGAAAAAAGATCAGATTGAGATTGTTGTCATCCCATCCAAGGTCCCAAGTAGGTCCCATTCATTTAAGACTCCACGGGAGAGAGAGAACAGAGGCCAGCAAGTACAAGATGAGGTGTTTTATTAAAAACTATGTCTTGCCAAGATCTTTGACTGTCATTACTCACAGTAATAATTGAAGAGAACAGACCAGAAACTTACCAAGTTTTTAAAACTGTCTTGCCAAAACAAAACAAAATAAAAACCCTAAACCTGGCCTGCAACAGCCTGTAACTATCTAAAACAATCCCTGAGCCCCCGAAGCCACAATAACAGGCGGTGAAGTGCTGAGGCTATCCGGGCTCCAAGAAGGGCACACTTTCCAATGCCCACTCAGATGTGTCCTTGAAAATTAATGGACAATAAAAACTTCCTAGAGGGCAACACAAGGACCCCTGAGGACATTAGACAAGGGAGTTCCTCCCAGAAAGGTGAATCAGGAAAAACAAAGAGATATATTTATGGACAGAGAAGAGAGACCTTGCTATTTTTGGCAAGCGGTATTTTTTTAATTGTTATGGATCAGTGACTGCTACGTTTCTCATTTTTCCCTTTTCTAAAAGGTCGACTTGACTGCAGTTTATCCTGCACCTATCCCACCATTATGCATGTGGTGCTAATGGGGCAGACACCTTGCTTTTTAGTCTGTACAAGGCCAGAGCATAAGAAGCCACATCCTAACCTGACGGAGGGGACTATACTCAAATATGGTCTTTGAGCTATATGCAATAATGGATTGGATTTTCGTGGTTTTCTTTTGGGGTGAGAGAAGTGTCTTCTGTTTCAGAAGAATGTACATAGATATTTAGGCAGCCAACAAAGCTGTTTGGGTTAAAATTGAAAGTTGCCTACCAAACATTCCCTCTTTCCTTCTTCCTTAGTTAAAGAAGCCTAACTTTTAGCTGGTTACATTGCCACATGGATTCTCAGCTTCCCTAGCAGCAGGTGGCCATGTGACTCAGTTCTGGCCAATGAGCTGTAAGTTCAAACGCTGTGCAGTTCTCTAGGAAAACTGTCTAAAGGAAGCTGATTCAACCAGGGAAAGTTCCTTTTCTTGCCCTTCCCCACTGCCTCCGGAAGCAATATTGGATGGTGAGAATGAGGTAACTCGAGGATAAAAACCATGTAATGAGGATAGCAGACCAGAAAGATAGTAACCTGGATACCACCTACTTCCAGAGTTCTTTCATGTAAGAGGCAAAAACTCCTATTTAGTTTAAACCACTCTTATCTTTGGCTTTTCTTTATATGTTGCAGAACCTGATCTTAAATGATAGAGTATAAAGTGAAAATATGAATGAAAAATGACCTGAACTGGTAGGAAAAGCTATTCAGTACAAGAATTTCTAGCAGTTAACGTTGTTGAAAGTAAAAAACAGTTACCAAGAAGCACTGGGGAATACTGTGGTCTTCTCAGGAGAAGGATTATTAATATCAAAGAGCCTTTATTGAGAGAGGGGATGATAAGCCCCCATAAAAAAGTATCTATCCTTCTCAGTAAGTGAGAGCAATTTATTTTAAAAGTAATAGAGCTTTCTCACTTAAATAGTTAGATAGTTTCATTAAATTATGGCATAAGGCCACTTAATTAAATCACTAAAGGAGAACCAAGAGAAAGAAGGGAAGGATGAAAGTGAGAGCAGATATTGAGTTTGTTTTCTTCCTGGTTCTGGTAGACTTCAATCCTTAAATATCTGTGTCCCAAAAAAATGTGTTTTCACTTAAAAAGCATCTTCCTTTATTCCATATATGCTTTAAAATATTTATTGAGCAGAGAAAAAGGAAGGGAGGTAAAAAGAAGAAACAGATGTTGATTTAATAGTTTTCTTCCAAGTTCTGGTGGACTTCAGTTTTTAAACGTCTGTTTGAAAAAAAAAATATGCTGTCATTTTCAAGGTATCTTCCTTTATCCTGAATCTCCTTTTATATATAGATATATTAAGTATTTGTTTTTTATTTTATTTATTTTTTTTATAATTTTATTTATTTATTTTTTCCCCCAAAGCCCCTGTAGATAGTTGTATGTCATAGCTGCACATCCTTCTAGTTGCTGTATGTGGGACACGGCCTCAGCATGGCCAGACAAGCGGTGTGTCGGTGCACACCCGGGATCCAAACCCAGGCCGCCAGCAGCGGAGCGCGCGCACTTAACCGCTAAGCCACGGGGCCGGCCCTAAGTATTTGTTTTTTAAATATGCTTAGCTAATCATAGATTACAATTTTAAAAAATGTTCTCTGATGATATCAATAATTGATTAAAAAGAGTTATGAATAATGTTGAAATAAATCATTTCACCATAAATATGGCTATCAAATTATATAGCTTTTGAAATGTGCTGATGCATAAAAATTTTATAGGCCTTTTCATTTTTCTTTAATACAAGTTACTCTATTTCTACAAATATATAGGAAATAGCATAGATACTAATTATTTGAAATTATATTTGTAATAAATGTCAATTTCAATGTATTCATTTTTTATTTCCTTAAACAAATAAACAAACAAAATTACATACGTGGCTGGAACTTCAATTCTCCACCAGGCCCTGATGGGGGAATTTCTTGTTGTAATTTTTTTTGTTCCATCTGCTGTACAGCCTAGGGAATGGAGAAACAATGTCTTAAAAGTAAGTTTTATTTGATTTTCTCTCATACGTGTGACCTTTGACAAAGGGCAAGAAACTAACTGAAAACTGTTTCCCAAAATGAGATATTCAAACTCTAAAATTAGTTTTTAGGTTAATATTCAACAGAGCAGTTTAAAAAACATTAAAATTTAAATATGACAGCTAATAGTACATGGAAATATTATATTACAAAAACACAGCCTTTTGGCCAGGCACCTAAAACCCTTTTCCACGCCACAATCCTTTTACAAAATACCACCTGATGATATTCCAGCTTCTGAGCCTCAAGCTGGTCATGCTGACGTTGTAGCTCTTCTTTTTGCTTCTGAAGCTCATCTGCCTTTTTCTTAAGTTCATTTTCTTGTAAAGAGATAAGTTTTTCATATTCTCTCAGTTCTTCCTCTGTGAAGAACTGTTGCTGATCCAACGTCTACATGAAAAAAAATAAGGAAAGAATACAACAATAAGGTCTGATTCAGCTTTAAAATTCTATGATTAGCAAACTACAAAAGAGTATCTATAGTATTACACCTTGTGGGTAAGAAAGAAGGGGAAAAAAGAAAATATATATTTATGTACTCATTTGAGCAAAAGGGAAAACAGGAAGGAAAACCCAGAGACTGATGAGATTGGTTACCTACAGAACAAAGGAGCGGACTGGGTGGGAAACGACAAAGAGAATGTGGGAAGGAAAATCACGCTCCTCTGAATACACCTTTTTTATACAGATTTGATTTTTGGAAACCTGTCAATGTTTCACATACTCAAAAAAAAAAACCCGAAAAAAAATGAAATCCACAAGGACAGGAAAACTCCCCAAGTTGAATACAAACAGAAGTAAATAAATAATACTTTTAAGTGAATAAAATAACCTACAGAAAGACGAGGGGCACAAAAAGAACTAACCCAAGAAATTTTTGATCACAGTATTTGAACTGTATGCCCTCAGGTTAAAAACAACAACAAAAAAATCTAAACAAATATTAAACTTTTGTTTTGCAGAGGCATGGATTAGCAATTCTGAAACACTTTGTCCATCCTAGGATTGAGCAAATAAGTGGAACATTATTGTGGAAAATGGGAACCAGGTTTCATATGAAATATGGAAAGAGGAAAATATAGAAGGTTATATCGGAAGTGGAGGTATCAGATTGAAATTTAAGGAGATAGTGTGAACTCCTGAGTTTTAATACACATTGATAGCTAAATATGTAAAAATGAATATAAATGTGTGTAGGTGTCTCTACATATGTGTATATGCGTGTATGTGTGGATATATG